GGCCACAAGCCCTGCATTCTAGACTCCAAACTCCCATTTCCTCCTCAAAGGCATGTGGTACAAGTAGGCTTTCTGTTTTTTTTGCTTTTGTGGGTGGCTTCATCTTTTTTGGTCGGGGGGCTACGATGTGCTCGTCTACGAAACTAAGGGGCCCTTGAAAGACCCCAAATAGTAGGATTCCCTGAGAGTAAGGACGCCAATAAGGTTCGGAAATCCCCACTCGGTTAAGGTACCCTGAACCCTAACCCCTAGACCCTAAACCCCAATTTCGGAAACCCGCCATGTGGTTTGGGCCCAGTAGGTCTCTGACGAAGAGGTCGCGGCCATCGCTTGGTGTTCGGGCTTGCCACAGTCGGCTCATGAGGGTGCAGGTTTACAGGGTTTAGGGTTTAGAGAGTTTCGGGTTAAGGGTTAGGGTTTAGAGAGTCTAGGGTTTAGGGTTTAGGGTTAGGCTTGTTCAGGGTTGTTCAGGGTTTGGGGTTTGGGTCTCGGGGTTTCGGGTTCAGGCGTCTTGGGGCTAATAAGCCTAGGCTTAGGGGTGTATGGATGGGGGGGGGGACTCCTTAGTGTGCTGGGTGAGTCAATAAAGCTGCGCAAGCTGAAAAGCCAATCCTGCGGGTGGGCTAGTGTGCGGTCAGGATTCTTGAAATTGGCTAAAGGTTTATGTCTCTATATATACATATATATATATATACACATATATATATATATACACATCTCTCTTTCTCTCTCTCTCTCTCTGTCTCTAACTCTGTCTCGCTCTCTCTCTGTCTCTCTCTCTCTCTCTCTCTCTCGCTCTCTCTCGCTCTCGCTCTCTCTGTCGCTCTTTGGGAGGGGAGGGCGGGGAAGGGAGGGGGAGGGGAGGGCGGGGGGGGCGGGGGAAGGATGGGGGATTTTGGGGGGAACATCGTTTGAGGGCTTCGGATTTTTTTGGGGTCTTTCGTTGTTGAGGGTTGAGCTGGCTTCGGGATTTTGGGGGGGCTTAGGGCTTTCAGGGTTTACTGTAGGGCTCTTAGCAGTACATTAGCCGTTTCGTGAGCTTTCGCGAGCCCCTGCAGATGGAGCGACCCGCCCCCTTAGCTGTTCTCAGGGAATGGGACTTATAGTTACCCTAGCAGCCCCTTAACTAAGCATCCTAATTCTCTCATTCCCTACTAAGAAGCCTCGTGCCGCGGACACTTGCCAACGCTAGCAACGTTTTTGGTCAAGTCCCTACCCGCCAAGGGCGGATGGGTTTAGGGTTTAGAGTTTAGGGCTTGGGGCGGGGAGTTCGGTGGCAGAGAGCGTTTGGGATTGGGCAAGGACAAGGTTTTTCCTGGCTACAGTGCAGAGGCACATGATTCCGAGCCCTCCCCAGGTGGGTTTACTTTTGCATTCGTCTTGGCCCCTTGTCACTCTGAACGTGAGAAGCTTGTGAAGGGCGGGCCCTAAACCCTAAACCCTAAACACATCTAAACACCTCCAGCTGGCGAGACGGAGGCTTCGATCTCGGCGTAACTTCAAAATCCACATCGCAGTAGTCAGAGAGCCGAGCGTTGATGCTTCCAGTGGTCGCTGCCGTTGCTGAAGCAATCTCAAGCGCTAGCAGCCGATGCAGGCGCTGAAGACTCCGAGACCACCAACGCACAAGGGGAGTTCTCTATCTCGGGGTCCCGTCTTGGGGTCCCTTTTTACAGTACAGGAAGGACCAACCAAAAGGACCCTAATTTAAAAGAGCTACCCACAGGTCGGACATGAAGCATTCGATGCCCACAGACGTGTGCGGTCACGTGGGTAGAGCTTCGGGGTCAGCTTCTGACGTCCTTGTTGCGCACGTTTCCGACAGCAGCTGCGCAATCTGTGTGTGGCCGTATTCCGTGGCGAGCGTGAGGGCTGTGCTCCCAAATTGATTCTGTAGGTCCTTGTTGGCACCGGCTTCTAATAACAACCACACACTCTGCACATGCCCACGTTCGGCCGCTGTCATGAGGGCGGTTGCGCCGTACCGACTCTGCAAATCCGGGTCTGCACGAGCTTGCAGCAACACATGTGCGATCGCCAGCTGGTTATATCGAGCGGCCGCCATCAGAGCTGTGCCAGACCGGTTTTGCAGGTTTTCGTCCGCCCCTGCTTCCAACAGCAACCTATACTGGTTGCTTAAGAACCCCCCAAAGAATAAAACGTCATTCTTTCTTACAAGGGTAAAAAAGGGGACTAGTAACTTTTACTTTTTTGTGGTTCTTAAGCAAAAACTATATTCTTCCAAAAACTAGACTCTTCCGTATAAGGGCAATAAGCGAACTATTTTCTTTTGTTTTTTGTTTTTCTTAAGCAAATACGAGCAACTGCGTGGTCTCTTTGTGGCCATTTTGAGCCGCCAGTGTCAAGGCGGTGCAGCCAAACTGGTTCTGCAGGTCCTTGTCGGCCCTCGCCTCCACTGGTTTAGGGTTTAGGGTCTCTAGGGTTTAGGGTTTAGGGTCTATAGGGTTTAGGGTTTAGGGTTTAGGGTTTAGGGTTTAGGGTTTAGGGTTTAGGGTTTAGGGTTTAGGGTCTCTAGGGTTTAGGGTTTAGGGTCTCTAGGGTTTAGGGTTTAGGGTCTATAGGGTTCAGGGTTTAGGGATTCGGGCTACCTGGCCTCTTCTGGGACCTTATCTACCTAATGCAGGAGCCTGAAAAATCTCAATAGGGACTGGGGGGGTGATATAGTAGAATCATAAAGGGGCCATAAGGGAAGACTATTTGTAGTTATTCCGACCCCTAGATTACAGATTTGAAGCAAGTAAACCCTTATTTCGTAGGTATGACCCTTCAGACTGTAGGCAAGTAGGGTCCCACATGGCCTCCAGCAGCAGTCGAACAGTCTCTGTGCGGCCACGGTCGGCTGCGCAAAGGAGCGCTGTCGAACCAGTCACAGCTTTCACCTTACTGTTGCTACCCTATATAATCCCTTAAAGGGTATACATAGGGTTACCCTATATAAATAGCCCTTAAAGGGTGTATACAGGCGGCCCCAATCTCCCTCATTCCCTGCTAACCACAGTAAGTCACTTCCGTGTGAGCGCCGGCTTCCAATAGCAAGGACACAATCGCCACATGCCCACATTCAGCGGCCGCCATGAGAGCCGTCTCCCCAAACCTGGAGGACCAAATGAGCCCTAAAAGGGTTTTAATGTCCATTTGCCTTAGTAGGAAGCAGAGCAGTGTAGGGTATATATGCCCCCAAGTTTTTGGTTCGAATTTCGTCCCCAAGGAACTTGATCTGCATGTCCTTATCCACACCCGCTTCCAGTAGCCTGCGCACAGTCTCTACGTGACCATGCCTGCAAGCATAGCTGATGAGCTCTTCGGCAGCCGCTTCGCGGTGTTGGGAAGAGCACATGGACAACCTATACTCCCCTTAGGACCTGAACAAAAGTAAGATTTTTGATATCCTCTTGGGTTTTATACAAGCAATGATTTAAAAAGAAAAAAACATCCCAAGGGGGGTATGGAAAACAAGACCAGCTCCATGTCGATGGGAGTGGTTAGCTTTGCAGAATCATCCAAGATGCTGCCATTGTGCAAGAGCTGCTGAAGACAAAGCGGGAAACTGTACAAGCTGCGCAGCGCTGCTTTCAATTCCTTCACGTCTCGGACCTCCTCCATACTGGTGACGGCCAGCTCCTCACCAGAAGGCCTAAAAATCCGGTGCATATCTGCAGCCGCAATAGGTGGCGCCATGCGCGCACGTGAACTTGAACACGAGGGCCCCATCCACGTCCATGCACCAGGTATCGACTGCGTACGGCGCGATCAAGGCGCTAGCTCAGCCATGCACCGTCAAAGCAAGAACCCCTAAAGCCAGACCAGTCGAAGCAGCCGCACGAGTATGCGAAGCTCGAGACAATGTATATGTGTCTGTCTTGTCTGTGTGTCTGTCTGTCTGTCTGTCTGCCTGTCTGTCTGTCTGTGTTGTGGGTTTGTGGGTTTGTGGGTTTGTGGGTTTGTGGGTTTGTGGGTTTGTGGGTTTGTGGGTTTGTGGGTTTGTGGGTTTGTGGGTTTGTGGGTTTGTGTGTTGTTGTGTTTGTGTTTGCGGTACCGTGGTTGTGCAATGTGTGTGTGTGTGCCTTGTACAAAATACGTATCTCAGCAAAATGCCTACACCCATAATTATATATATATATGTAAGTATATGTCAACGCATTCATATGCACTTGTAGATATACTTAGCTATTCATGTGTGTATGCATAAAAACATATACGTATATGTATACATACGCATCAGAAGACTTGAACGTATTGGGTTTAGGGTTTAGGGTTTAGGGTTTAGGGTTTAGGGTTTAGGGTTTAGGGTTTAGGGTTTAGGGTTTAGGGTTTAGGGTTTAGGGTTTAGGGTTTAGGGTTTAGGAGTTAGAGTTTAGGGTTTAGGGTTTCGGGCTTAGGGCTTAGGGTTAATGTATTTACCTGTTTACGCTTACTGCGAGGCTGTGCTCAAGCCAGGTGCATATAGGCCTCATGGCTGGCTTCCTGGTGCACGCTTGAGATTTTAGGGTTTAGGGTTTAGGGTTTAGGGTTTAGGGTTTAGGGTTTAGGGTTTAGGGTTTAGGGTTTAGGGTTTAGGGTTTAGGGTTTAGGGTTTAGGGTTTAGGGTTTAGGGTTTAGGGTTTAGGGTTTCAGAGCTTGAGTCCGTTGGGTTGCGGCCCAGTCCATGGCTCAGGGGTTTAGGGTTTCGGCCTTCGGGTGTTAAGGGTTTAGGGGGGGGGGGGGGGGTTATAGGGCTTAGGGGTCTCAGGAGGTGTTCCACGCAGCATTTTTCACAACATCTCCACGCCACAGGGCTCGAAGCCGCGTCGAGGATCGGCCACGTTAAAACGGCATTTGGTTGGCTGATGTTATGGGGGTCGGAGGACGAACTAGTAGTGTTCCCTTGGGGTCCCTGTATAAAAAGCCCCAACACCCTATTCGAATTGTTAAGGCGCCTATAGAATAGTGCTTCACCCCCTGTCCCGGCAGTACATCCTCTGACTGTCGGATGGCCCTTTTCAACTGTGTATTGCCTTGGCCAACGGCGCGTTCTTGACCGGCGGGTTCTGATACAACATCCAGTATCCCACCCCCCAGAAGGCGGACTGAGCCACCAGTGGGAGCCCGCACTTCATTCCAGTGTCCCAGTAGAACAGCAAGCCACCAGTTCCCGACGTCAGCATCCAGAAAAAGTTCAGCAAGTACAAATCGCGCGACTCGGGTTTTGTGTAGATGAGGTAACACCTCAAGGACCACATGAACCCAAAAAGTGCTTCTGGTTCATATGCCCGAAGAGGGATTAGAGGGGCATATGATCCCTCAACCCTAAACCCTAAACTCCTAAAGGCTAAGCCCTAAACCCTACACCTTAAACCCTAGACCCCCTAAACCCAATCTCGGGCTCCATGTAGTCCCTAAGGCACAGGACCGTCTCGAGGGTGACGATCGCCGCGCCCAAAAAGCGAGTGCCAAAGTGCGATTCCTCTAGGGGTTCTACTTTAGACCCTTAAGGCTGTAATTCTGGGTTTTGGGGTCCCTTTGAAGGATCCGTTGGGGAATATAAGGGCCTGATGAGGGGAAGCCTTAAGGGCACAACCTTAGGGGTTTAGGGTTTAGGGTTTAGGGTTTAGGGCTTAGGGTTTAGGGTAACAGTCTTCATCCCTTGAATTCCTCTGCGAGGCGGTCGAGCAGCTCGGGGGAGTCACCGACTAAGAGGCCGATTTGCCTTGCTGGCTGAGTTTTCCAGGGTTCTTAGGGAGGGTTTAGGGTTTAGGGTTTAGGGTTTAGGGTTTAGGGTTTAGGGTTTAGGGTTTAGGGTTTAGGGTTTAGGGTTTAGGGTTTAGGGTTTAGGGTTTAGGAACCAGGCTTCACCTCCGGGATTTCAGAGGGGGAGGGGGGAAGTGGGCGGGGTGGTAATCTACCCAAAAAGATTTAAAAGCTTACCGACTCAGCACCTGAGCTGCTTGTTGATGGAGAAGAAGAGCCTGGGCGCAAACATCATCATCGGGCCCAAGATGGAGCCTTGGACCCAGTTGATGCCAAGGAAGGTGAGGAAGCCAGCACCCAGGTAGGGCTTCTTGGGTGCCATTTCTTGCCACGCAGGTGCGAGACACGACTCGGTCACTTCCGGGAGCTTTGTGAGCTTTGGGGCTGCAGAAGGAAGATGGCAACTGCCCTGATACCCGACACCTTAAAGCCCCAAACTTCAACCCTAAACCCCAAACCTTAAAGCCAAAAACTATTGAACCCTAAGGCCTATAACCCCTCCTTAGACCGGGCCTCAGTTGTCCAGGGCCTCGGAAGATGAGGTAAAGTCTATGCTCTGTTGTAAAGGGCTATGTTATTGAATCCACTTGTTAAGCGAACAGTGCTTTTTATGTGTGGTTTTGATTCTAGCATCTAGATTGTATGTCACTGTATGTCATATAACATATGGACAAAGAGTCGACCCTTTTTCTTGTCAGGAGAACTGTTTGGTGGACCCGTCAAGTCTCACATGTCATGGGTAGGATGTCGTCAAGCATTTTTAGAACTATTGCTAAAATCATGAATGTAGTCTGCAAGTTAACAACTATAGTAGTGAGCAGAGCTAACAATATTACAAGAATTACACAAATTAGAAACCACTATTTGTTGGAATTACTGACAATTATAAGTATAAGAATAAGCACATTAATCTATTTATACAACGTACGTATCTATTGGAGTCGACGCTACATGTGATTAGTATCTTTAAGGCAATTGATATAAGTAATGTAACTCTTATATGTGATATAAGTAAGGTAAGTTAAATGGTGCATATCATGGTTGCAATGAATCTCGCCTCGTGGCTCCGCCTAAGATCCTAAGCTCCGGACTTTGACCTTGGGGTTTAGGGTTTGGGGTTTAGGGTTAGGGTCAGGGTTCAGGGTTTCGGGCTTAGCGCTGTAAGGGTTTAGGGCTTTAAGGGCCTTAGGGGTTTGGGGTGGGAGCACTGTGGATTGCTAGATTGCCTGCCCCCCCCCGAAGCCCCCCCTGGGGTGTAAACCTATCTCAGACACGCCCCAAGATACGTTCAATCACAAAACATCTCAGCAGACACCCAATCAAGCATGCCCTGTTGACATGACCCCAAGGGTCCATGTACCTAACCAGGGAGTACTTGGGCCTAAAAGTACTTCCTATGTAGGGGGCTTTAGGGCCCAAGTATAATGATAAGGTGCGCGGACACTTAGGGTGATAGCTGCAGGGCTTCTTGCTTCGGGCTTAGGGTTCTTGGTGACCCCTAACCCCGAAACTCTTCCCTTTTTCAGCTCGAGCCGCGCGGATGTCTGAACGACCACATGAGCCCTAAAGGGGTTTGAAAATTTGGACACCCCTCCGCCGGGCCCAAGAAGGTGGTCTTGAGGTTGAAAGCCGGGTTGGTCAAGGCTTCACTTCTCAAGAGCCCAGAACCCTACATTGTTGTAGGCTTGTGTGGGCTTCTGGTTCTTCAGGTAAACCCTAAACCCCAAACCCTAAACCCTAAACCCTAAACCCTAAACCCCCAAAAAGTGACTGTAACGCGATGGCACTGGCTCCGTGCACTGCGCGCCTTGGGCGCCAGGGCTCAGAGCCGGGAGCTCAGCTCAAGCTCAGGGCGCCTCAGATCTTGACACTAAGTACCCCAACACCCACGAAACCCCCTAAACCCTAAACCCTAAACCCTAAACCCTAAACCCTAAACCCCAAACCCCAAACCCCAAACCCCAAACCCTAAACCCTAAACCGCAACTTTTCGGCTTTAGGGGAGTTCGGCTCCACAGGGCTTAGGGCCTGAGAAGTTTTAGCAGGGGACGCAACCGCGCCCTGGACCCCAGAAGGGTTTAGGTTCTAGGGTTTAGGGTTTAGGGTTTAGGGTTCAGGGTTTAGGGTTTAGGGTTTAAGGTTTAGGGTTTAGGGTTTAGGGTTTAGGGTTTAGGGTTTAGGGTTTAGGCGGTTTTGGGCTTCGGGCGGGTTGGGGGGTTAGGGGGTTCAGGGAGTTTCCGGGGTTGAAGGTTTCGAGGCTTTACGGGGTTCAGAAGGGTTTATGGGGCTTAGGGCTTACGGTTTACGGTTGGGGGTTTGGGGGTTTGGGGGTTTGGGGGTTTGGGGGTTTGGGGGTTTGGGGGTTTGGGGGTTTGGGGGTTTGGGGGTTTGGAGGTTCGGGGGTTTTGAGGTTTTGGGGTCTAAGGGTCTAGGGTTTAAGGGCTATTCTTCAGGGCCCCCTAAACCATCCTGTATGTTGGGAATAAGCCATGCCGTAACAAGCCCAGCCCTGAACACTGAAGACCTTCATTTCGACAAACTTGGCCATGCCCTTCCTACCATCCCCGAGAAGCTCTAAGCTGTTGGAGGTGACTACATGGTCCCACTTAGTATGGGTCCTTCATTGGGAAGTCCTTACATAAACAATATAACACCCAAGAGCCCATACTTCAGAACCTAAACCCTAAACCCTAAACCCTAAACCCTAAACCCTAAAACCCTAAAACCCTAGCACCCTTTAAAGGAGGTAAGGGACTAAGTTCTAGGTCATAACCGGAACCCTGAGCCTTGCGACATGACAACCCTGAAATCAACCCTGGACCCCGAACCCTGAAATCCCAAACCCTAAACCCTGACATCCTAAACCCTAATTAAACCCTAAACCCTAAACCCTAAACCCTAAAACCCTAAACCCTAAGCCCTGAAACCCTAAACCCGAAACCCTGAAATCCTACGCTTTAAGGAGCTCAATGGTTTCTCCGAGTGGCTCTTGCAGGCCTCGAGGCAGTCCTGACCTCTCAGCACGCGCCCGGGCAGGGCATGGAGCTCAGGGTATCTACTAACGGAGGTTTAGGGTTTAGGGTTTAGGGTTTGGGGTTTGGGATTTAGGGCATAGGGTTTAGGGTTTAGGGTTCAGGGTTTAGGGCAGGCAGGCACCAGTGCTTCAGGGAGAGTGGCGACCTAAACCTTCAACACGAAACTCCAAACCTCCTGTATACAATCCCCAAGAGTTGGGCCCTAAGGTTTAGAGTTTAGAGTTTAGAGTTTAGAGTTTAGGGTTTAGGGTTTAGGGCTTAAGGTTCAGGGTCTAAGTCCCTAAAGCTGTTGTATAGGAACACCTTCAAGGCCCAAGTATATGCGTTTATGGGTACATGGACCCTTTTGGCATGCTGTGCACGGCAAGTCATCCGAGAAAGCCTTCACTGAGCAAACGAAGCCGCCTGAATCACCCCCCCCCCCCCCCCCCCCGAAGGTGCGGAGTCTGAAGTTCCCACCTCGAAAACCCAGCGGAAGGGTTAGGGCTTAGGATTTTTTGAGGGTTGAGGGTTTAGGGTTTAGGCTTTAGGCTTTCCCCCACACCCGACTCACGGGTACAAGTACCTGCGAACTTGACGATTTGCTTCTCGATCCAATCCTGACAGACGGGTCTCCATGCCGTGAGGGGGAGGGAAGTCAATGTAGGTACTGGTATAGAGGATATGTACAGGGGTGCTAAGACGGAGCGTTGTCGCCGTGACCCAGATCCTCTTCTCTGCTTCCTAAACCCTGAACCCGGCACCACCCCCCCCCCCCTAAATCCAAAACCCTAAGCCCTAAACCACAAACCCTAAGCCCTAAATCCTAGGTTCTGCACGGCTGGGGCTTTTGGATTCTAACAAAGGGCATGGCCGGGGGGGGCTCGGGGCTGGAGAGGCTAGGGTCCTCAAACCCTCTAAACCCTCTAAACCCTCTAAACCCTCCAAACCCTCTAAACCCTCTAAACCCTCTAAACCCTCCAAACCCTCTAAACCCTTTAAACCCTCTAAACCCTTTAAACCCTCTAACCCCTCTAAACCCTCCAAACCCTCCAAACCCTCCAAACCCTCTAAACCCTCTAAACCCTTTAAACCGTCTAAACCCTCCAAACCCTCCAAACCCTCTAAACCCTCCAAACCCTCTGAGCCCTCTTAAACCCCCTAAACCCTCCAAGTCCGGAACCAGGGGGCTCCGGCGAACCTCGAGCTCCCAAGGACTTAATTCCCTAAACTGGGTTTGCGGTTTAGGGTTGAGGGTTTAGGGTTTGAAACCTTAGGGGGCCTCGTAACGAGTAAATTTCACGGCTTTAACAGGACTATGAGGGACTATAAGGGCAATAGACATGAAGAATGGTGTTCAAACCTTCCCATGCGAACGCTTCAGGCCTTACTCTTGAAACAAAGTTCGAGGGTGTAGGTTTATATTTATGGTTTGTGCTGTAGAGGTCAGGTGAAATTCCCCCCGACACATCCCTTGCCTTCTATAGGGTAATCTAGCCCCCACATAAGTAACCCTAGTCCTCAAACCACCTAGTAACCCAAACCCAAAACCCGAAACCCTAATAGCCCGAAACCCTAATAACCCTCTAACCTGCCAGGACGCCTTGGCATGCGCCAGATTGACATGTGCAGGTGAAGTCTTCACGATCTTGACCGGCGCGATCTGTTTACCTGATTATAGCGGGCACTCGTGCAGGGGACAGAACCAGTTGGCTACCACAACCCTCTTGTGGTTTAACCGGGCTTATAAGGGACCCCATAGTCCCCCAACATGGCATTAAATCCTACAACAAGGGCATTAAGGGCCTACTCTGGGTCCTGATAAGGAAAGTTACCTGCTCGGTCCGTCGTAAAGTTGAAGTCCTGGTAGGCGAAGTGGACCTGGGCTGACATCAAACTTCTTGCCGCAACAACGGCCACAAAACATGGTTGGGCTGCAGCTGACACTGCTCCATCCAAGACCTCTTCCCTGACTATATGGGACCATGAACATGAACACGAAAGCCGGTGAAAGTGTTCATCGTTTGTTATTGGTTGGGCTGTCCTTCTGGTTTGCTGGGTTTAGCTCCGTGTTTCTGGCACCGGTAAAAAAGATCCAATGCTGTTGTTACTGCTGCAGTGATGTTCGGTTTGTGCTACGTCTATTGAGATTTTGAACGTGGATAGAAGTTGAACTGAGACAGGCTGTAATCTGAGTTGGTACGTATCCCAATCCCAAGCCACAATCATTGCTTACAAACACCAAACAACCAGGATGGGCTATTAGGCCTTACAATCCCCATGATCAACCCCATAAAGGGCCTTGTTAAGGGGTTATAGGGTATAATCGCCCATCCTGGAATTAGACTCATTGGTCCACATGCTGTCCATTGCAGCAGTTCCAGCTCATCGGCTGCGGCACAGTTCGGTTGGCCGTTGAGGCAATGGCTGCAGGTGGTACGGCTGGTCTGCCAGGAAATTGTACTCGAAACCCTAAACCCTAAACCCTAAACCCTAAACCCTAAACCCTAAACCCTAAACCCTAGACCCTAGTTTCGGCTGCGCGCGCGCGGTTGCTTTGGGTTCGTTCTGTCACTCAGAACTCAGAGGAAGGCATGCGCCTCCAGAATCTCACCGACACAGCCGAGAGCCCAGCCCACAACACACAAAAAAAAACGCGAAGAAAAACTCAAAATCGCCGGGACTCAAGCGAACCCTCAACCCCACAACCCCTTGAGCCCTGCCCTTCCACATTTCGGGAGAAGCTGCCGAAGCCCTGCCGCCTCCTTGCGGCGCGAATGCCAAGGATGATCCCGGTGGGGTGGGCCGACGCGCTCGGAAGGGAGGCGCCTCTAGGACCGAAATTGGTAGGATTGGTCTGAAGTATCAGATTGGCAATAATATCCCATTCCATTAACATTTAAGGAGCCCGAAATTCGTAGGATTGGTCTGAAGTATCAGATTTCTAGAACTGCCTTATTGTTATTGTTCTCTTTGTTTGTTGCTCTTCTTAGCGTTGTCTTTGAGTCTTGGGGGGGGGCTTCAGGGTTGAGTTTTGTGGGGGGTGTTCAGGGCTTAGGGCTTGGGTGAGTACGGTGTGTGGTTTTGAGCGGGTTTGGGGCTTGGGGGCCATAGAGAAGTGAGGACGGACTTCTAGACTTATAAACCTGCTAAAGCTAAAGTCGCCCCACTTGGAACCCTAAACCGTCAACCCTGAACCCTGAACCCTGAACCCTGAACCCTAAACCCTAAACCGAATAGGGGAGACGTAAATTTAAAGCTCCCAAAGGCAGGTGGCATTATCATAAGCCCCCCTGTTTGGGGGGTTTAGGGGGTTTAGGGGGACTGACAAGTTTCACGGCATTTTTGCGCCGCCGCTGCAAGCAGGGTGAGATAGGGTGAGCTGCTTCATTGTCATGGCTAAGCATGTGCCTGCTTAAGCCGTCTCAAGGGGCCACAGGACATGATCCCCAACCTAGACCGAGAGTTCGGGAACAGTGCCAGTGCCATTTCCCCCCCCCCCCCGCCCCTGGCAGACCCGGCAACCTGGTTTTTCCCAAAATTCCCTCTTCCGAGTCCTCGGCAACAACTGCTCGAAAAAGGGTCCGGGTTGATGCGCCGACTTTGCCCCAAATTCTAGGGGTGGGGGGGGGGGGGGGTGCGGGCTAGCCTCAGAAACCGAACAAAACCTGGAGATTTTGTTTTTCATAGACCCCCTTCTGCAGCTTGTGCCCATGGCTTATGCACCACTCTTCACCATGGCTCTCCCTCAAACTTGAGGCGAGAGCTTCGTATAGCGACCCATGAAACTGCAACACCGGGAGCCTCCCAGGTCAAGTTGAAGAGGTATGCCAAGGCGTCCAGGTCACCTCAGCATGGAGCCCCCCCCCGCCCCAACTCTCCATCTGCTCTATCCCCAGCTCCCTCAAGTCTAGCCAAAAACACCACCAAAAAATCCTGAATCCCAAGAGGCCCTAACATCCCGAATGTGAATTACATTGACACTGCAAGCTTGAGACAGGTCAAGCGGCTGTCGTGCCCCACGTAAACCGTGCTGTGGGCACGGGCGTCTTCCGCCGAGGTACCCAGCCTGAGCACCAGCCCAAAGGATGGGAGGCTTAGGGTTGGGGGTTGAGGATTGAGGGTTGGGGCTTTTCGGGTTTTTAGGGTCTTTTGGGGTTTAAGGTTTCTAAGGTTTTTAAGGTTCTTGAGGCCTTTAGGGTTTTAGGCTTTAGGGTTGATTAGGGTTGCGAGGCTTCGGTGGATGGAGCTGGGGTTCGCGGGTTGATGTGGGGCTTCAGGGTTCGGGTTTCGGGCTTAGGGTTTAGGGTTTAGGGTTTCGGGATAAGGCTTGAGGGAGCTGCAGTCCGCGCGTTGAGGGCTTGCTACCAGCAAGCAACAGGGTGCCCTGAAACTCTAGACCCTACACCCTAAACCCTAAACCCTAAACACTAAACCCTAAACCCTAAACCCTAAACCCTAAACCCTAAACCCTAAACCGAAAAGTAGGGGAATAGGGTGTCACTGTGGGTCCCTTGTTCATGGTGTTGGAGGCTGCTTGGGCTGTAGGACTGGGGGATTTTGGCTTTGGGTTTAGGGTTTAGGGTTTAGGGTTTCGGGTTGAGGGTGTAGGGTTGCGGGTTTAGGGTTTAGGGTTTAGGGTTTAGGGGTTAGGGTGTTTAGGCTTACCCTCAACTCTCACACTTCTTCACCTCAAAGTCTACCTCTAGGCCCTCTCGCCCTAAACCCTTTTGGGTTTCGGGCTTAGGGTGTGGGGTTTTGGCGGGGTTTGGGGCGAATCTCACTGAACCGTCTTCCCGCTGCCGAGGTACAGCTTGGCGATGATCTCAGCTTGGGCTTCGGAGTTGAGGGCTTGGGGTTGAGGGTTTAAGGTTTGGGGATTATAGGGTTTAGGGTTTAGGGTTTAGGGTTAGGGTTTAGGCTTTAAGGTTTGGAGTTTAGGGCCCTCCGGTGTTGAAGGGTTTGGCACTTTGGGGACAGGAGCTCAGGGGGTTTGGGGATTTAGGCTTGGGGGGGTTTTGGGGTCTAGGGTATAAAGGTTTGGGAGCCCCTAAGCCCTAAATCCTAAACCCTAAGCCCTAAACCCTAAACCCTAAATCCTAAACCCTAAATCCCAAACCCTAAACCCTAAACCCTCAACCCTAAGCCCTAAATCCTAAACCCTAAACCCTAAATGGTGCTTCAGGTCTCGGGATCAAAGTGCTTGAAGCCCTGCTTTGAAGGTCACTGTGGGGCTCTTTGGGACTCGTGCCGAAGCCTTCAAAATATTAGGGTTTAGGGTTTAGGTTTTAGGGTTTAGGGCTAGGGTTTAGGGTGGGTTGATGCGCACCTTTGTCCTCGCAGCCAGCATCTGGCCCACAAGTCGTCCCATAGGCCCGTGAAAGGCTGTCCTGTCACACAAGATTGTCGACAGAGGAGGCAGTTGCAATGGCCACAACTTTCACAGACTGTAGGTTCGCCAGCAGCTGACGCAACCAGTTCTCTGTCGTTCTGTCCTCCTCCAGCATGTGACGAATGGAACCGGGCAACTGCTTCAGGGACGACGGCAAACACTGTCGAACTCGGACTCGTCCTTTTGCATGTTCTGTCAGAGCTAAGTAGCACCGAATCGCGTGCTTGAGCATGCGTGCGCATGGATTCTGCTCAAGGGCATGTATCATCTTGGAAAGGACGGCCGTAATTGTGTAAAGGTAGTCTTCTGATGAGCATATGCAGTTCAAGCCCTGATCATCCAACATGAGCTTCTGCACTATGAATGTCGCAACCGTCTTGGAAAGAGGATCTGTCTCATCCCTCTCCATGATTCTCAGGCAGAGCCATACAATATCGGTGTCGAGCAGCAAGCGGACAGATTGCGGATCATGGCTCCTTAGCAAGGCACCGATGACTCCCAGGGCAGTCAGCCGAAGATACATCAGCGGCCGCTCTGCGCCAAGGGCATGTAGGAAAGGATACACGAGCAGGTGGTACTGTGCCTGTAGGAACAAGGGCCGCGTTTGCTCATCAACTGCCAAGCATTGGAGCAAGGCGATGGCGTTGCAAGCCCGTTGGGATGAAGCCGGCGTGATTGTTGGCGGCTGCGAAAGCTGCGGATAGATGCCTTGAATCTCCTCCTTGAGCACATCCATGCCACTCGAATGCCATAGAGCCACTGCCAAGCCTGGCAGGGACTCCCTCAGTTTCGAAAGCTCCACCAGCGCCGATTCTCGCGTCGGCTCTGCGTAGAGGCCCTCTACCAAGGCGCCCGCTTGCGAAGGGCGTGTCTCGATGTTGCCCCCCGTGCCCACAGCGACCAGCCGCGCCTGCGGACCGCGCACAGCCGGCCTCCTCGAAGGTCGGGCTCCCATGGCTCTACTTACCCAAGTGCCTCTGGAAACGTTGGCAGAGGCACAGAATCAGGAAACCTCGAGCATGAAGCGGAGGAACATAGCATCGTGTAGCTTCAGCGCAGCGTGAGAGGATGGTTGGAAACAAAGGAAACAAGGACCAACAGGCAAAAGCGGGCG